TTCCTAAAAGAAAAAATGGCAACATTCCTCTGAATAAAGATGTTGGCAGAGTTACAATTAAAATACTGCATTCCCTTAATGCTTAATTTAAAATAGGGTATACAACAACAGGGTATAATAATTCTAAGAGAATGAACAGATCCATCCTAGTAAAACGTTAGCAAGCAGGTATGTGTCCACTGAGTTATTCAGCAGTAATACAGTAATTACAGTAATTATAGTAATACAGTAATACAGTAATTACAGTAATCCCCCAAGAAATGCACACATACATCACTGGTTACCATCAAGATGGAAATAGCAATTCATCTGTGTAGTTCCTTCCTCATGCTCCTTTTGCTGCTCTGTTGCTGATTCAATTAATGAGTCCTGGGGTATAATGCTAAGGGGGGCTTCATAATACCATGTTCAAAAGGTTTCTTTTCTCTTAATTATAAAAAATAGACATTACAAAGGGGCTAATTCACTAGCTCTACTTTTTATCATACATCGTCATCTCAAGACATCTAAAAAAGCATCTATGTTGTGAAATAAAGAATGAACATGGTCTACCTTTGCAGAGACATGGAAGGAGCTGGAAGCCATTATGCTCAGCTAACTAATGTCTGCAGAAACCCAGAATTGTCTTCTAGATAGGGAGTTACCAGCAAGGAGCTTCACTGTCACTCTCCTCCCCGCTCCACTGCCCGGATGAGGAAGTGTGAAAACGTGTCTGGCTCCATCCGAGAGGTGGGTTAACAAAGGTCGCTCCCAGAAGACAGCCCTTCCCAGAAACTGACAAAACAAAAATGCCCAAAGTGTGTTAAAAGCAGAGATAGTAAAACAACCTCTTTATAAAACAACCCGTATTTATAAAGGAGTTGCTTTGCTGCCTCTGCTTTTTAACATACTTTGGGCACTGAGGACTTGTTTATTCCTGACTAGACACCAATATTAATGAAAATACACAGATAGAACCATGGTCAGATAGCCTGAAATTGTCTAACCTTCCCTCTGCAGCCCTCTCCTCCAAGAGATCAAATTTAACACCACTCACGGCAGATAATCTTACCTGTAAGTTAGCAGAAAAATCTAAAGTGTGTTATTTTACATTCTCTACTTTTAACATATATGTGCACTTCTTAATACTTAGACTAGGTAATTCAGAGACAATGGAAGTTCATCCACGTTACCTGCACACATGCAGCAAAGCTGTGTCCTGAAAGCATCTTCTACGTAGGAACGTTCTGGCCTAGAACCCTTCCCCTTCTCACATCTACCAACCCCATGGGCAAATCTACGCATGTGCAATGCTTAGAGGTGATGTTCACAATGTCCACAAGTCGTTTTCAGAAGACAGTCCTTCCTATGAATTTTAACACAGAACGTACACAATTGCTTACTAACGGGACTTTGCTCAAACAGTGGCAACCTCTTTAACGTCTAGAAAGAGTAGGTGCTGTAAAATTAGGACTTGTTTGCTGATCATGTACACTACACATGCAGCAAAGTGAGACAGAACGCAGGCCTGCGAGACACCGGTGAATCCGGCCTCTTCATAGGCACGCTGGCAGGAAGCCCACCAGCACTTGCTCCTTTCTGCTCTTCCCTAGACCAGAACAGAAAGACATGCGCCTGTCCAAAGAGGCAGTTTGGCCATTCCGTTGCCCAAAGACAACGTTGCATGTGGATTTTAATAAAAATATATTTGGAAAGTATGTCCCGTTGCAACATCTACTTTTAATATCTACCAACAAGTACTTCAGAACATCAAGAAAAACTATGTATCTCAAAAAGGAACATGGCGAGGCCAACTACATCTGCATTGGTGAAGAATAGAAAGTGGAGCCAGACAGTGGCTGGGAAATGAAAATGTCCTCTCAACATGACTGATTGGGCATAGAACCCTTCTTCTGAACTCGGCCCAAGCTCAGCTTCCACATAAATTCAGCGTGTGAACGCACCTCCTAGAGCTTATTCATGAGCTCTCCAGACCAGGCTATGGATTCTAAGTTAAGAACCTCTCTACTTAGGAATTTTCTGTCTTTTCCTGATTCCACAGTTACTTCGCTGAAGAAGAGAGGGCTTTGTTGAAGTCTTCTCAGGCTTTCTGCACAGGGCTCTGGCCTTGGAGAAAGGATTTCCATTACTGGAGTGTCACTTGGCCCTGGGTCTCCTCCCGGGAGAGAGAAGTGTACAGCTTCCAAGGTTCCTGGCAGTTTTGAAAGAGCTCTCAGCCACAGCCAGCTTTACTTTGGCAAGTGAGGCCATCCCCTTTCTTTCCTCCTTTCCTTTCCCATGGAACCTACTCCTTCCATCTGTCTTTCAAGCTCTGCCTTAGAAATGGCAATTCAAGCCTGATTTTCCCCTTGAATGCACTCTCTCTGTGAAAGATGCTTTTCACCAAGAATGTGGTGCTGGTGGTTCTCTTGCCAGTGGGTTAAACAAAGACCTCCAAGCTGGGTAACATTTGGGCAGGCCTCTTCACACATGCCTGTCCTTCTCCGTCGCACTTGGCAAAAGCCAACAAGCTATGTGTGAAAAGTATAAAGAGATGGAAAAATTCCCATGAAAAATCCTTCCCCAAAGCAACTGCGAGACAACTGTGGCATCATCTGATAAAGTTATTTCTATTTTGCATCTGTTTCATTGTTGGAGGCCACTCAAAGTTGCAAGCCTTGCAGGTAACATAGGTAAAAATTATAAGTGAATGCATCTGTTCAGGTTATTAGCCACTGATTTTTAAATAATCTGAAGTTTGAGAGTCTCAGTTAATAACCTATATGTGTGGAGAGCATTCACAGACCTAATAGCATAAATCTTAATCACCTCTTTTCTGCAGAGTAGCAAATAAGAAACTAGGAAGAGCTGTTTCACTTCCGACTTGTTCCTTAAGGGCCTTAGAGTTGGTAGTCGTTCTTATCTGGGCTCCCTAATGCCATGTCAAATCAACGAGAAAAGAAATATGCACAAAATCAGCACCCAAATACCCCGGTGCCAGCCTGCGTCCGTGCTCCTGCAAGGGCAGCTGCCCATGAGGCAGGACTGAGCCAGGTCTAAGGTTAGCAGCGTCCCAGCTCCTCAGTTCCTGCACATTGACTCACAACAGAATCAAAACTCCAGAGCTAAACTCTGGTTTCTTCTGCTTTTTCTTCTGCAATTTTTTTTTTTAAACTTTTTTTATTGGCAACCATGAAAGAGATATTCACAAGACTCACAGCAAGGTCAGAGACCCCTAAACAGATGGTTTTCCCTTAATTCATCAAGCTGGAGGAGTCACTCCGCCTCTGGCCACAACCTCATCTCTACGTCCTGGCCTTGATAGCATTGGCTGGAAGCTGGTTCGCTTCATCCAAGGGCCTTCTTTGAGGGCATTCATGGCTTCCGCAAGTTTGAGCATCACTCTCCTGGCGCTGGCAGTGCCACTCAGCCATGGGCTGGAACTCACTTGGTTTGGAGCTCGTACAAATGAGAACCGTAAACCGCAAACTCGGCGAGGTCTGAAGACTCCAGAGCCTTCAGCTCAGGCATGGCCTTGCTCACCTGCTCAATGTAAGGGATTCCTCCCTTCCCAACCTCAAGAGAGTTAGAGATCGCTCTACCACCTGGTGGAGAAGAAAGCTGACCACTGGTGTGCTTCCAGGATGCGAGAATCTCTTGAAGCCCAGCGTTCTCTTTCAGTGGTATTACTCACATTTCTCTGAAGCTGTGTTCTTCAGTTGGACAGGGCATTGCTAGCAACTATTTTTTAAAAACATTTCTTTTAGAGATGGGATTTTGCCATGTTGGCCGGGTTGGTCTCAAACTTCTGGGCTCAAGCGATCCACCCTCCTCAGCTTCCCAAAGTGTTGGGATTACAGGCTTGAGCCACCACGCCCAGCCCAACAACTATTAAAACCCTTGTGACTCCAAAGAGTGATACTGAACACCAAGCTGCGATGCCAGAAAAAGCACTCCACATGCCAACAGAGAGCTCTAGTGAGGAGTCAGGGTCAAGACTTGGTGGAGAAAATCCTTCTCCCTTCCTCTCTCCCTCCCTCCCTCCCTTCCTTTCTCTTTCTTTCTTTCTCTCTCTCTCTTTCTCTTTTTCTTTCTTTCTTTCTCTCTTTCTTTCTTTCTTTCTTTTTCTTATTTCTCTTTCTTTCTCTTTCTCCCTTCCTTCCTTCCTTCCTTCCTTCCTTCCTTCCTTCCTTCCTTCCTTCCTTCCTTCCTTTCTTTCTTCTTTCTTTCTTTCTTTCTTTCTTTCTTTCTTTCTTTCTTTCTTTCTTTCTTTCTTTCTT